AACAACACCTAGGTCTTCATATATTCAATTATCAATTTAGTTCATACAATTGAGGAATTCATTCAAAGTGTCCTTATCATGTTACTAAAGTGCAAAGTTGTCATTCAGGTATCGCATTAACACTCTTATTTACAGTGGTGACTTCTCGGCTTCCTCTTACAATTTGTCCATGTATACATTTGCCAAAATCGGCAAGAGTGGAGATCCCATCGATAGTCCAAATATTTGCGCATAGCTATTGCCGTTGAATGTGGTACTTACTGTCAAGTTCATCTGTCGTGTTAATAACTCCTTCCGTATCCACTTTGTTTCCAGTATATTCTACTGCTTCTCCATACATGCTGTTAATTAGTAACATTAATGTTTATCCTTTCTTGTATATCTTCGGTAGTCCGTAGGCTGTCGGACGTCTTGCGTTATTTTTACTTAAAAAATTCATCATCCATCTGCCGATTTCTCCGTTATTATGAGTTTCCCTTGGCATATTCTTCAGAATTCCGTTCATTTTCATTGTTCTATCCTTTCTTAGTATTTGATAAATGTTCCGGTCACCTAGGGTACTTTCCATTTCCTCCGTATACTGATTCCAGTCAATTAATACCTCGCTACTACCTTATCTGTCTGAAGTACTATTTGCTCTACCTTTTTCATTTTTAATGCATCTTACTCACTCCGCAACTGTTTATTGGTCCTTGATGTGCCAAGATTCTCGGGGCTAATTCCATTACTCGCTCCCATTTGGTCTCTTCTGCTTACTTCTCCGAGATATTGACAAACTCTGAAATAATATCTTATAGCACCGTTCCTACGTATCTTAGTGAAAAATGTAGCCCTTTTTAGGGGATATAGAATTTCTGAACCAAAAGGTACTAAGGATACTTTCACTACCTTATCCTGATCATCCTTTGGCGCAGTGGATGCCGTTAATGCCGAAAATTCATAAGTTGTTCGGGTTGGCTGAATCCTGCGCTGCCATATTATCCCATGTCTAAGCAACTTCTTATCAAGATCCAATAAACAGGCTAGATGAGCATTCGCAGAAAACTACAAAGGAATGACTAAATAATTATTCAGGCGGATAAGGGAGGAACAGTGGAGTGGAAACAGTACATGGGGAAAATGGAAAAGTATGATAGGCGGTGTGGTACTAATACTGGCAAGGCTCACAGACGATGCCTACTACGATGCCGGTGACACGTCTGGAAATGTACCAAGTCCACGGTCCGACTCTGTAAATTATCATGCATACTATAGACTCTTGGCAAAGTGCGTTTATCAAGGTCTTCCTATCAATGACTAAGTTGCGAAAACAAGGTTAAACAATGACATTATATGATATGTTTTCTTTGTTAACTGATATTCATCTCTCTCTCTAGTAGTATATAAACTTGTCCTAAGTTCTATGCTATATTCTTATCTCGCCGGTTCAGGAAAAGCATAATGATATCCTGTATAATGTGGGCCTCTCCAATCAGATCAACCAGAACGCCCAGATAGTTCAAAACCTCTTCCTTTACGCTACTCTACCAATGGCAATCCTCTTTCGCTACCACTCTAGCGTCTGTTTGGCCATCTGCTTCACCCGGCTCTATGAGGATGAAGTTTCTCGCTTCGAGAGCATGCTTCGTGGCGAGGCCAGTCATGCAAAGCTCTCACATCCAACTGGATTGCGCCAGCTCTCAGGGCACCATCACAGCTACGGTCACAATGTTCTCGCATCACAGATTTCAAGTAGCTATAACCTCTCAACTCCAAGTGAGGCATATCCAAGGCACCTTTCCACCTGGACGGCTTCACATTATCCACTCCAAAGTCAGATAGCTAGATCTTTTAAGCGCCAAAGATCGGCCAGCATCACAGTGATGACGTCGAGTAGGATACTGAAGGAGGCGGAGGTGGAGCACCAGCCGCCAATTACGATAGCAAAGCACAGTCGTCGAGACGGACTAAAGGAACAGGACGAGGGTCTATCTAAGAAGGCAAAGTTTAGGGTACGCATTGCAAAGGCCAAGGGCAAGCAGACACTTCATAAGCATGCCAACAGCTTGGGTGCTGCAGGTCGGCGTGGAACTATGCAGAATCTTCAATTGGCCCAGCTGCGTATTAACTCCGGCCAACTTGCGCATCAAATGATGCAAGCAAAACGTCAAATGGTTTCGATCCAATTGGCCAGAGCTGCAATGCTAACGGCTGAGATGCGTATGGACAAAACGATTGAAAGCCAAAATCATACAAATACAAATCAACATACTTACAACAGAAGTCCCAAAATTGACAGTGGCCGGTTGAGGGAAATACCCCAGGTCAAGCGTAGGACTCATCGGCTTCTTCAAATGCTGCCATCTAAGGATGACAAAACTATGTATGAAAAGTACAAAGTAAATGTCGTTAGTATCGACAAGGAGTCCTCACTGGAGAGTATGAACGAGAGTAATGATACTAGAGACTGGGCAGATCTGGGTGTGATAAAAAATAAAGATGAATCTGAGGTATCAAGGGCAAAGCGACT